AAGCCCACACTTTTCAAACAGGCACCATGTTTTAATAAGTTAATGCTATCCACAAAATAAAAAAAACTTTTACCAAGCTTTCCATAAACAACTCCTATCCAGCTGTTGCACTATCTGCACAACACAGTAAGCATTATCTAAAAAAACACTTATTTAAAACTCTTAAACAAAATATACCAATAATTAGCTGAACTTACAAAAAAAAACAACTTCTGACTATTAGTAAAAATTTTGAGATGAACAAGACAACACTCTGTGGTCATAGCATGAGAAAGCAATGGTATAAGAAGTTCACCAGCACCTGCACATTAAGCTATTTCTCTGAACGGAGATACTCATCACTTGGCAATGGCATCAAGTGAGAGACACAAGCCAAGCAAAATGAGCTAAGTGCTACTACGCTTTGTAGTAGAATGTAGATCTTTGTATGCTTCAACTTATAATAAACAGGTGAACAGCACTGTTAAAAATCAATATCTTGAGAAACTGTTACTCGAAAAAGGTTACTGATTTCCCATTAATAAACTGAAAAAAACATCACAAGTACAAAAACCAGTTTCAAATTCTGTGCCTTGGGAAAATGAAACTGTGAAACTTGTACTAAAATACTTGAAATCAACATGTAATAAATTACTAACTAATGGATTGTTAGCAAAAATTGCACAATAATGATGGATTAAAAACTATATTTTACTGTATTTTCATACAGATTTATTATGATTACTGCAATGTTGAATTTTTACTTAACATAATTCATAATTAGTTCTGATCACAGCTACATTTTGTGGTGAAAATGTTACCAACCAATGTAAAAAAAAACATGTTTAGCATCCAGAGTTTTCGAAAAAAGGAATGACCTCTTTGAAATAAAATTTGAACCCTTTTATTCATAACTGTTGCATGTTTTCAAAGAGTCCATATTGAATAGAAGTCTTCTTTGTTTCATTATTTTCATCAAAACAATACAGAATTTATGACAAATAAAGAAAAGGGGCAAAATGAATCACCTGTGTTCATCTCATTTTTTATTCATAGGTCTTTGTTTTTTTTTTGTATGATCAAAAAAAGGTAAATCAAAAAAAAAGGAAAACAATTGCAAAAAAAAAGTGGGAGGGGGAGGCAGCTGCAAAAAAAGAAAGCAGACAGGGATGCTAAACATGTATTTTTTTACTTGGCCTAAACTATGGTTAGATTCTCTGGATAGTTATGGAAGAAAAACAAAACTTTTAGGGTCAAGCATTTTTTTTCTTGATGAGTCAAGTTACTGTGGCTATAATACATGACCAATCACAGAGTATTGTAGATATATGTTTGTATGTTATTCTATACTGTATAAAATCCAATGTACGAGAAAACTTGTTGTGTTTTTGTTTTCTTTTCTTATGGTAATAAAATTTTGATGCCATATTAATTTTGTTATTGTTAATTAGTTATTGCATTTACCTTTGTAATATATTATATGGTTCAAGGCTAGGACTACTAAGTGGATAGAAAACACTGCTTCACAAGCCCATGAACAGAGAGTTCAAGACAAATCCAAAAAATTTTGGTACTACAAATGTAACCTAAATAACATAGGAAAAGAAAAAATTATAGCTAACACTAAATAACAAGTTATGCAAGTAATGTTTGGAGATGGTTTGAATGGGTAATGAAGAAAAACTTTAATATAGGTTTAAGTTAACAGCAAATGTACAACGTTTCGACAAGGTTTTGGGTACCTGATGATGACAAAACCTTGTTGATATGTTCTACATTTGCTGTTATGTTAAACTTATATTAAAGTTTTCTTCATTACCCATTCAAGCAGTCTCCAAGCATTATTAGTCTCAAAGTGGGTTCCTCGTCATCAAATTTGAATAGTTATGCAAGTTAAACTTACAACCTAATACAATGTAAAGACTGAAATTTTACACCTTATTCAACATTAAAAGAGTAGATTTATGCAATTATAAATTTGTAACATAACTCAATCTAAACAAAGAGTAATATTATACTTTAACATCAATTCTAAGAAGCCATAAGTGAAAGTAAAGAAGAATATATTATAATATACATGTCAACCACACTACATCTGCTATATCCATTGCTATTAAGACCTATCAGCCAATACCAGGATCAACAGGCTAGTCAGGATACAACATACATAGTAATCTTCTAGGTCAGAGGAACTGCTAGGCACTGACACATAAGGCTGGTACCTTGATTCTATTTGACAATGCCTCGATTTCCCCAATTGGTTTCTTCAAAAATCAGGATAGAAAAACACTATTGATATCATAATGAAACAACAAAAATTCCCACACCTATAGGCCCAAGCCCTAAATCTTTTCAATACCTAGCAATGCCTCTGGTCCAGGTGTTATATATGTTGCCCAAAAGTTGGCAGTGGATGCTACTGGTCATTTGCCTTCCTTCAGAACAACAGTTCAAAATTAAAGACTGACAAATAGCCTTAGTAGTTTGCCATAACTCAAAAGCAAAGAAATACATATAATATCCCTGCAGCTGAATAGGTGAGTATGTTCGGTGGCAACAGGAATCAAATCTGAGACCTTCAAACCATGCAACAGCCTTCCTAATCACTGAGCCATGCTAGCTCAAAGCTTAACATACTTAAATTAACCAAAAATTATTAATGTCAAACCATAATATCAATATTTTAATTACTTGGAAGTTGAGTTGTTTGAGTATAAAACAGAAATATCTGAAACACTAATTTCAGTTAGTTGATAATCTTATGTGATTAACTGACGTAATATATGCTCCAGCTCTATACTGGACAAGGATTTTTTATTTCTTTGCTACATAATCAGTTAAGAGAGTTTACTTTAAAGGCTTTCAGTCCAATCTGATTTACAAGTTATTTGCTTTTTTTAATATATATTTCAGTTTGTATATTTTCGTTTTTCAAATCCTTTGCTAAATGACCTTATTAAATTATCTTACAAGCTACTTGCACTAAAACTTTATTAAAACACACATAACATTGTGTTAGTTAATCAGTAATAATATTCCGTTAGCACAGATTCATAAACATTTCAGTTTAGGTTTAATACTTTATCATAAAAATAGCTAAAATTTGTCTATTAAAATATTAGGTTTATTTCTTGCTTGACAAACTTGAGGAATATAGTTTAGCCCAACTCATACAAAATATGATTAAGAATAAATATATATTCAAATTATTAATCACAAGTACAACTTACTCTAGCAGGCCATGGAGGATATCCCCTAACTTTTGCAAATACCAAATCGCCCGGTTTAAATACTGCTTTCTCTCTCATTCTAATTTATTTCTCTATTTAATCTTTATATATACATCTGAAACAAAGGTAATGCAACACTAACACGAATAAACATAAAATAGATCCTTCAACGGAATCAACATTAATAAACTTAAGCCTAATCAACGTTTAACTTCGAACTTTTTTCGTCTGGTTTTACTCATACAATCTACCCGCGCTAAAAATCTGATACGAGAATAAATTATTCTCGCTAACACAATCACTTGTAAACACACACGACGTTAATTTACAACAAAGTTGGAGATATTAGCAATGCTAAATTGGTACTTTGTTGCAAGGAGACTAACCCTAGGTCACTACATTATATTCAAAATTAATTAATATTATCTCTAACGTTTTAAAGTGATTTTTGCACAGTAATTATCATAAATTAATATTATTTATAATACTCCTTTGAATGTGGCTCGTTGGTCTAGGGGTATGATTCTCGCTTAGGGTGCGAGAGGTCCCGGGTTCAAATCCCGGACGAGCCCTTCACAGATTTTGTAATTTACAAAATATTCGCAACTGAAGATTTACCTTTAACGATAAATAGTAACAGTTACTTTACAGTTAGCGAGTTCTGATTATAAACTTTAAACCTATTGGTTAAAGTTACCTGATTATGACCAAATTAAAATATTCTTGAATAACTTTTACACAATGGGCTATCTCTGTTGTGCATAACACAGGTATGAAAAATAGGTGTTTTAGCGTTGTAAGCACGTTTGGTTTTGTGTATTTATCCCTACCTTGTTTCTGTACTTTTTGGCATCATACTTAATTTTTGCAAAAAAAAATATTTGTTTTCCCTCTTGTTTTTTCTTTAACAATTTCATTGAAGTAGGCTGATAATTGAACATCTGATTTATCTTTATAATTCAATGGTAATATATGTTGTTAATATAATATCAGATATATCTGTTTCTTCATTGCACTGTAGAATGACCTCATATATTGATATTGTACCATAAATTTGGCTACAGTAGTTTATTAATTGTCACTGGTCATAATTTTGACTTGGGACTTAATGTTGAGGAATCTATAGTAAGGAAAGAACACATGTATAGTTTTATTATCCCTATATTCATGTTTGCTTTCTTTTTTGGCACTGGCATAACCTACATCCTTTTACATTTACAAAATGTTTTTGCTCCCCCAGTGGCACAGTGGTACGTCTGCGGACTTACAACGCTAGAATCCGGGTTTCGATACCCGTGGTGGGTAGAGTACAGATAGCCCATTGTGTAGCTTTGTGCTTAATTACAAACAAACAAAATGTTTTTATTGCTTGCTTTGTAACGTTTTTAACCAGACTGAAAGTTAATGTGTTCTATGAATCTGTGTAATGGGGGCGGGGGTTGGATCCCCGTCTGATTTCATATCGATATAATTCTTGACAAAAGTATGTCTTTCTTTTCAGTATTGGTACTTTTATGTTGTTTTTTTATTTTCTTTTTGCACTTTTAACGTTTATTATGTTAGAAATAAAAAAATTGAAGCACTTTCCTATCCTTTGTTACAAACGAGTTTTTATTTCACCCATCTAGCGGACGGGTACTCCAACTAATATATAATATAGGGCTTGGCTCCCTGAAGACACTGATTATATAGTGAACAAAGCACTGAGTATTGTAAATGTTACAGTCATCTGACGTTCATCTATTATTGGCAGGTAATACGTGTTTCATCCTGTTCTTAAACTATTTAAAGGAACACCACGTTTTTATAAGAAACCTAATTCTAAGGGTAAGGATAACATCGTTTACAATATAATTATAATTTTATTTTTTTAGCTTAATGGTACTGTTTGGTAATAGTCTGTTATCAAGTGCTCCTAAAATGCTTTTTTGTGGTACCAACGCCATTGTTTTTTGTTTGTTTATTGCTGTTTTTTTTTGGCTGGAGTAGGGAAAGAAAAAGGAAGACGAACATTTTGGCTCTGTAGCTAGTTCCTAATTCTCCAATTTAGCAACATTTTTCAGTGATGTTAGAAGTATCACAAGCTGTGAAACACTTGATAATGGTATTTAGGTGCTCAGATAAGGCTATAACTCAACTTTAGCAGTTATTTGTAAGCATCATACAGTAATAGATTGAATGCAGAAGCCTTTTTTTTTCTCTCGTCCCAACCATACATACAAATCACTAATAATCTTAGTGATAAATTCTAATCCAAGCTATAGCTTGCACTTCTACATTACACGTTCGGGATATGAAGTAGTAAAGCTTATTGTTAAAAGAATCAACTGTCACCTGCAGTAAACAAAAGTTCTATCCAAATTACAGTGTCCAATTAAATAAAAATAACAAATCTGGTGCTATAAGATCGTTTATTTCTAGTATTAAAAACAATAAGGTATTTGATGGACTAATATAATATTCAGAGAATCATCACTAAATAATTGTAAATGAAATATCGGCTGGTAAGAGTAGTTTAAATTTATGTAAAAACAATTTCAGAGAAACTAGAGCAAAGAAATGTGGCTGTACAGTAGATAAATCCCATTACAGACAAGGAGACAACACTCTACTAAATGATGGCTTATATACTTTACTAAGAAATAACCCAACCAGTAAAGTTCTTACCAACATAAAAAACTTGTTAAAACATGTCTCATTTTTACAGCTAACCAAAAATTTTTCTTATTCCTACGCACTATCACTACCTCCGTTTCTATGCTCTTCCAAAAATACACAAAGATAATACACCATAAAAACCTATTGTATCTAGCATAGGCTCACCTGTACAAAATGTCGCTAAATTATTAAGTAAAAAATTACTTCTTTATTAGAGAATAACCCTTTCTCTCTTAAAACTTCCAAAGGCTTCGTGAACAGAATCAAAAACATTTGCCTAGAAAAAGAAAACATTTTAGTATCCTTTGACAAAAAAACTCTCTTCACATGTATGTCAAACTGGAACAAACTAGCCTTGATCATAACGATACTTTACTATACGAACTGAATATTGTGTTAACAACACTTACTTTACATGTGAAGATATCTTCTACGAACAAAACAGCGGTTTAACAATGGGATCACCCCCACCCCTACTTATTGACCTATACACGTCTGTCTGTGTTCGAAGAAGAACGTTTTGTACATTCTTTCACAAACACGCCCCCCAGTGGCACAGCAGTATGTCTGCGGAGTTACAACGCTAGAAACCGGGTTCCGATACCCGTGGTGGGCAGAGCACAGATAGCCTTTGTGTAGCTTTGTGCATAATTAAAAACGAACAAACAAACTTTCACAAACACACTAAATTCTGTAACTAAGCTACGTTACGTGGACGATATCTTTAACATATGGCGACATGCTAAAGATATCCAACTTTGTTGAATTTCTAAATACTATAAGACCGAATATTATAACCTTTACATATGAAATAGAATCAGAAAACTGTTTCCCCTTGTAAATGTTAAAGTTACAAGAGAAAATAAGAATATGATCATCAACATATACAGGAAAAATTTACTGTATCCACACCAAAGATTTGATCATCATCTGTCACAAAAATGTCTATATATTATACTCTCGTAAACCGTGCATTAGAATCCTGTACTCGCAAAACGGACTTATACATTGAATTTAGCTATTTAAAAATAGTACTGTAGCTAGGCTTTTCAGCCCTGATATCACAGACAGAGCTTTTATCAAACTTACAAATTACAAACAGTTCTATACTAATTCCAGCCTTTTCCTTATCAGTAACGTAAATCATAACAAGTTCGTCTTGTTTCCCTTAGTTCCTGAAATGGCTGCTGAAATAACCCGTTTATTTAATAGCTTAAAACTGAAAGTAAGAATTATATATAACCCCTCGCATATGATAAGTGCTTTATTACCCACCTTTAAACAAAAACAAGGCACATATGTATATATAACATAGAATGAGAAATATATTAGACAACCTGCTCGATCTCTCGAGGCCCGGCAT